AAGGTGGAAGGCACGTTCAAATGTAAGAAATGTGTTCATGGTGTGATTAATAGGACGGACGCAAGGACGGGGTTGAGTGATGGTATTGAAAGAGTGGAAAGCTTTGTTTACTTAGGGGATAAGCTGAATGCGGATGGAGGATGTTTGAGCGCAGTTACGGCTAGAGTTCGTGTGGGATGGATAAAATTTAGGGAACTGGGTGGGGTATTGTGTGGAAAGAAATGGTCAGTGAAGATGAAAGGGAGGGTATATAAAGCATGTGTGAGAGCAGCGATGATATATGGTGGTGAAACTTGGGTGTTGAGGAGAGAGGAGGAAAGTGTACTGCAGAGGGCTGAAAGAGCTATGGTGAGGATGATGTGTGGGGTTAAAGTGAAGGATAGGAGGAGTAGTACAGAGCTGATGTCGAGGATGGGACTGAATGAGGACATTGTGACATTGATAAGGAGATCGAGATTGCGGTGGTATGGACATGTGTTGAGAAGGGATGAAAGGGTCGGGATTAGGCGAGCGTTGGAGTTCGAGGTTGAAGGAGTGGTAGGAAGGGGTCGTCCGCGATTGGGATGGAGAGAGCAGGTGGAGAAGAACAGGGTGAAAGCGGGGTTGCGTGATACTGAGGCGAGTGACAGATGTGGATGGAGTCGAGGGGTATTTCGGTTTCATCATAGGTAGCCAAACGGCAACCCCCGATCTCGGGGAAAATGCCGTCTAAACGTGTTTGTTTGTTTGTACGGGCGTATTTGTCGAATGAATCGGTAGTGACTAATCAGAATTGTTGGTAAAATGACGAGTGAACCGACAGAGTGATAACAGTGATAACAAAGATAATGATGATGATGATGATATAACTGATTATATAATATGATGGTGATGATAATATGATGATATGATATAAATAACATATGATTAGAATGAATGATGATGATGGTGATAAAGATGATTTCTGATAAATGAATAAGCATTTGTCATCAGAAATTGTAACTATATGACGTTCAATATATAAATTTATTCATTTGGCAATAAACTTTATTCTACTTAATTTAATTTCATTTCATTATAAAAGATAAATTTTAAAATAAACTCGTGTCGTTGGTAACAATGTGGAAAAATATAAACACACACACACACACACACATATTTATTTATACACGTACACATACACACGCATATATATATATATATATATATATATATATACATATATATATATATATATATATATACATATACACACAGAGACACACACATATACATACATACACACGCACACAAACACAAAAGAGCTTCCGATACAAAAAAAAACAAAACATTTAGACTAGAATGAAGAAATAGTACATTTGAAAGGTGGATACATCGTCAATGATAAAAGGTCATAAAAATATATATATATATAAATATGTATGTGTGCGTGTGTGTTTACGTGTGTGTGTATGTGTGTGAGTGAGTGAGCGTGCGTGACATACCTAATTAATAAACTTAGATGACCTTTCAGTGCATCTAACTTCACGTACAAAAAAATCTATAGCCTGATATACAATATCCACAATGATGATGATGACTATTACTACTACTACCTACTACCTACTCCTACTACTACTACTACTACTACTACTACCACTTAATAATAATAAGTCCTCGTGAAAAATGCCGAATGGTGATAAAAAAACGTTTGAAGACAAAGTAATAATAACAACAACAATAATAACAAAATCAATAATAATAATAACAACATCAATAATAATAATAACAACAACAACAATGATAATAATAGTAATAATATCCTGAAATAAATTGACTGACGTAACTGAGGGATAAAGCCAATGGGGAAAAAGTGGCTAAAAAATAACGTAAAAACAACAACAACAACAATAATAATAATAATAATAAGAAGAAGAAGAATGGTGGTGGTGGTGGTGATGGTGACCTCGATAACGACCACAACGATGAAGAAGCTGATGATGGTTAAAACGAATGAAATGATAACATCAATAATATATAAAAGTACATATAGAGAAATAGAGAGAGAGGAGAGAGAGAGAGAGAGAGAGAGAGAGAGAGTTGCATACAATCCGACAAACATACATATAGATACAGACATATATCGAAACAAACAAATAAAATAGAATGAAATACAAACTATAAAAACATAATACTACGTGAATGTAGGTTAAAAACATACTGAGAATAAAGTAAATAAATAAACAAAGGAACGCAAGATGAAGAAAAAAAGAAAAAAACATGTTTTATTTACACATTTTTATTTACAACACACACACACGCACACACGCACGCACGCACGCGTACATACACACATACACATTCCACAGTTTTTATCACTTTATCATTGATGCCATAGTTAGATAAATAGCCTCATATTACATAGTAAACAACTTAAATTTAAAAAATTGAAAAAACACACACATACACAGCCAAACTAACAAACAAAATAAATAACGCTGTCTTTTACTGACAAACATTACGTATTAGCAATTAAATTATTTTTATACAAAAATACGAATTTTAAAAATGTTAACAATGATACGATAATACGGCAATGATACAATGATGACGAAGATGATGATTAAGATGATGACAACGCTTTTTAAGACAACGATGACAATGACATCATCAAAGACTATAAACAGATAAAACATTACAATTAAGACAATTAAATATATAAAACCATTTATTTATACGTAAAAAAATTAATTAATTGAATAATTATATTCAACTAATTAACCAATTAATTATCTAATTAATTTAATTGAGTCTGTCAAGAAGTTGAAACTTTAATGGATCTTTTCCTAGGGGCATTAAGCAGATTGGATTTCAACAACCGCCTGTGTGTGTGTGTGCGCGCGCGCGCGTGTGTGTGTGTGTGTGGCAGTGTTAATAAATAAGACAACTGAATGTATTTTTACTGAAGATTAATCAACTTCATCCACATATCATGCCACATCATCCAAATCAACATCAAAAAGAGCAGTAACAACAACACCAACACACACAAACAACCACAACAACAACAAGCAACAACAACACCAACACAACCACAACACAAACAACACCAACAAACAACACCAACCAACAAACAACACCAACAAACAACAACATACTGCCTAGCAGTCATTTTCCTATTGTTCTCAAAGAGTAGATCCCTGCTCTGCGTAGGGTCCCTGTTGACCCAGTGCCCATAGATTTTGAAGGCTCCCGAGTCGATGAGGCGTCGGAAGGAGCGCACGGAGTACGGATCCGTGGACACCTGATACACCGGAATGATCGCGTGAGGAATTAGGCGAAGGAAGCACACTGCTGCTTGGACGGCCAACATGGCTGCCTGTAGGGATGGGCGAATTAGGTGAAAATTAGGTAAGGATTGTAAAGAAATTATGTGGAAATTAGGCGGAAATTAGATGAGAAGTGAGGATTTAATTGATGAGTTAGCTCAGACGGTTGAAATGTTACATCAGTCATGTTATTACAAGCTGCTGTTGAGGTACACAGTCTGCAGTGCATGATGCATCTGGTGGTGGTGGTAAACTTTAAATTATTAGGAAAAAAATACTTATTTCCGTACCTCGTTTCCAAATTTAGGAAGGCAGTCAGGGGTACGAAGGCCAGAAGAATTTAAAAAATGTAAAAGTAAAAAAATAATTTAAAAAAAAATAAAACAAACTAACTTTTAATTTTAATCTCAAAGGATTTCTAGATGATGTCGTCGTTGATGTTAGCGATGTAGTTGTTGTAGTGTCCGGCATCGTAGCATTTGTTGATGTCATTGATGAATCTGTCACATTAGACGATGTTGTTGATGTTATTGTAGAGGCAGTAACATTTGCTGATGATTTTGATGGTGATGTAATCGGTGTCGTTGTTAATGTAGTTGTTGTTGTTGTTAATGTCGTGGCTGTTAATGTCTTTGTTGTTGTTGTTGACGATTTTTTCGTCACAGGAACGTTAAGTGACAGCTTCAATGGAGACTTCGGTGGTGTTGTTGATAGCAGGTAATATGGGTTCTGCTGTTGGGTCGGTTTTGTGTTACTTCGCAATCAGGCCAAATTAATATAACAATAAGAATAATAAAATAACAATAATAATACAATAATAATAAAATGTCAAAATAATAATAATAAAAATAATAATAACAATAACATCAAAGCCAATAATGATAAACTCAAAAATTAAACTTTTCATGGGAAACATTCTAACAACAATAACGCAATATATATATATATATATATATATATATATATATATAAAGAGAGAGAAAGAGAGAGAGAGAAAGACGAGCGTTATCTCAACAGCTGATAGCTATAGATAGTATTAAACCAATTTGAAACTAGAGCAGAAAGTTACAAACAATAACACTAACAATACAATAACAAAATCACAAAAAAAACATCCCACAAAATGACACTAAAAAAAGCTACAGAAACATCAGAGAATTTAACAACATTACGATAACACTGCATTAACACAACATGGCGCATAAAAACAACAACAACAACAACAACAAAAACGACACTAAAATAATCATGATAACATCAGACAAAGCTTGGTACTGCGTTAGCTCAGATGGCAGAATGGCGTGAGACATATAGCAGCACGTAGATCTCACCTTATTAACCTGATTCAAATGCTGCCTGCTACTCAAAGACTATTGTACAATTTGCAGTATTTACATAAGAAAAATCAAATAGTAATAAAGTAATTGTGAATGTTGAGGAAAAAACAACAACAACACTAACAATAGCAACAACAACGATGACGATAACAACAACGGCGCAACACTAACAATATGACTGCTAGAGTTGCTGCTGCTGCTGCTGCTGTCATTTTCGATAGATAGCAGGGTTGAGTATTCGTCGACGCCAAAAAATGGATGCTTCAGGGCCTCCTTGGCCGTTAGTCGTACTTCCGGGTCCACCGTTAACAGGCGAACTATCTGGAGGAAGGAAAATTTGGAAGAAAAATGAATTTTTTTATAGAACGTTTTTTTAATAGTTTTTTTTAATGTAGTTTAATACATTTTTGAAGATATTATACCATAGAGAGGAAAGAAAACAAATAAAAAGATATACAAATTTGAAAAATTGTACAGGAAAATGAATGTGGGAAAATACGGTAAAAGAACTGAAAAAAAACATAGAGAGAGAGAGAGAGAGAGAGAGAGAGAGAGAGAGAGAGAGAGAGAGAGAAGAGAGAGAGAATTGATTCATGTGGGAACTAACGAGATCCTTAGCATTGTAGCTGTAGTCATTCCATCTGGGATTACTGAAGGAATACTTGGCCGCCAGAATGTTTTTCAGTATTTGAGCTCTTTCCGGCGCCCAAAATGGCGACGATCCTTGCAGTCTGGATTAGTATTTTTTGTTTGGCAATCATCATTCTCATTCAAAAATATTCTCATCATTATCACCATCATTAATATTAACATCGTTATTATTATTGTTATTATTAAATGAATAAATGTACGTATGAATAAATGAATGAATGGATTGAATGAATGGATTGAATGAATGGATTGAATGAATGGATTGAATGAATGGATTGAATGAATGGATTGAATGAATGGATTGAATGAATGAATGAATGAATGAATGAATGAATGAATGAATGAATGAATGAATGAATGAATGAATGAACGAACAAATGAGTGAATGAATGAACGAATGAATGAGGCAAGAATGAATGAAATGGTCAATAGTAATAACTCACAGTGTATACATCAGAGTACCACATGCCCACCTGTTGGGTAGTTATGTAATATTGTGTATTAGTACCTTAGTACGTGTTGGTATGCGTATCACTGCGTATTATTACGTGATATCGTGTATTGTGACTGATGGATACTGTTATTTTGAATTATGAAAAAGGTCCATAAATCAATTAAAGGTACGAACACTTCTCAGAAATTATATAAAATGATGAAAAAAATTTTACAAATCAACAGAGTCATCGGCAACAACAACATCCTCGCAACAACAACAACAACAAAAACATTGCCAGCTTAACAAACATGTCGACGGATCTGCCATATCCTTGGTAGTTATCGTAAAGTTGGCTTTTCAATAACTCCGGCGACAGGTACTCAAATGTACCGCATAAATCTAAAAATAATAATAACAATAATAATAATAACAAAAATATTAATAATGATAATAATAATAATATAACAATGATAATAATAATAATGATGAAGATGATAACGATGATGATGATGATAATAATAACACCACCATCATCATCACCCCTATCAACATCATTACTATGATCATCATCGTCATCATCATCGCCGTTATCATCGTCATCGTCATCTCCAATTTTGAACGATGGGAAATGCCAATAATCACAAAAGATTTTTTAAAAATAAAAAAAGTTGTTTTTCTTTTTTATGTTCTGAAATTTGGACAATTTCCTTTATTAACACAAAACATTGTGCGTGAGTGTTTGTGTGTGTTAGTGTGTGTGTGTGTGTGTGAGAGAGAGAGAAAGAGAGAGAGGGAGAGAGAGTTTACATGTGTGCGTGGAGTAGAACGTGTTTTTAAAAGAAGAATTTGTTTTAGATGAATATAAAAATATTCTTAACGCAAATAAGATCAGTAATATGTGGGAATAATATATTAAAATGCCGGTTAATGAGACTGAATGAATGAATGAATGAATGAATGAATGAATGAATGAATGAATGAATGAATGAATGAATGAATGAATGAATGAAGGAAAGAATAAACAAACAAATAATATAAAAATAAAGAGTCAATGGTGAAAATTAAAACAAAAAGAAGAACATAGAAACGAACGGATGAACTGAATAAATAAAAGTATGGAGAACAATTTTTTACAACAATTAAAGAACGACAGAATATAACACACGCACACACAACACACAGATACACACACACACGCGCGCGCGCGCGCACGCAAACCTGTAAATTCGTTGTCATGTTTGAGTGTTGAAGCAAAACCAAAGTCAGACAGTTTAATATTGTTGTTATCGTCAACGAGTATATTCTCCGCCTAGAAGTTTAAACATTTTCAATCTAAATTAAAAATTTCTACATTCTTTGCCTAAAATATTTTTACAATCTCTGCGGTTTTTAAATATTTAAATTTAAATTAACGAACCAGCAACAACAACAGCAGCAACAACAACAACAGCAGCAACAACAACAACAACAGCAGCAGCAACAACAACAGCAACAACAGCAGCAGCAGCAGCAACAACAACAACAGTAACAATGAAAAAAACGACAGAACTAACAACAATGTTGAAGCCTACAACATAAAAACAATAATAAAAACAATAATAATAATAACAGTAATAATAGTAATAATAACAAGATGAAGGAGAAGAAGAAGGAGAAGAAGAAGGTCATACCTTAATGTCTCGATGTGCGATTGTTTTGGAGTGTATAAATTCCACAGCTTCCAACAATTGCTTCATGATGACCCTAAAAAAGGAATGAATTAATGAATGAATGAATGAGTGAATGCATGAATGAATAAATGAGTGAGTGAGCGAATGAGCAAATGAATGAACGCCTAAACGAATGAACGTCTAATTGAGTAAAAATTCAACGAAATGAACGAACCACAGCACCTCTCACAGCCACCATACCATTATCATCCACATAAAACATCATAAATATATCTCCACCACCCAAGCCACCAGATCAGCATCATCATCATCCCACTACCACCATCATCATCATCGTCTTCATCATCATCGTCATCATCATCATCATCATCGTCATCATCATCATCAACCTTGTCCTTGTCTCTGAGAACGTAACTACCTCCGTCAAAATGTCAAACAGTTCCTTCTGACATCTGAGGAACAAAAAAAATTTCAAAATAATCATTACCATTATTACAATTATTATTATTATTATTGTTGTGGTGGTGTTATTGTTGTTGTTAGCAGCAGCATAAGCCAAAGCAGTAGATTGTAGCAGCAGCTGTTAGCCTGGCGGCCCCGAATAAAAACAAAGTCTGCTGATCTATCTAAGCGTGGGGGAAAATATGAAATCATCTTTTTTTGTGTGAGTGAATATCTTTCCATGCATCTATTACGTATTATACAATAATAATAACAATAATAATAACAATAATAATAACATCAATAACAGGGTCGTTGACTTGAAAAAAATAACCACTACAATCAACCAGCCAGCCAGACAGCCAACCAACGAACCAACCAACTCAGATGCAAAACTGAAGAGCGAATATTTTCTACCACAGACGTGGTTTTATACAGTGACTAAACATTTTATGCATTAAAAAAACCATCTGTATACACACTTATATACAGAGTATAAGAAAGAAGTGTGTGTGCGTGTGTGAGAGAGAGAGAAAAAGAGAGAGAGAGAGAGAGGGGGGGAGAGGAAAGGGAGAGAGATCAAACGTTTGAAAAGATAAAGCCATTGAAACAAATTCAGGACTGTTATTTTTTGCATGCCATTCAAAACAAGCACACATTTAAAAGATGTGGCCAATAAAAATTTTTCTCATGTTCACTGGCAAGCAAGACGTCAAACGATAATAACTGAAAGAGCTGGAAATGGGTGTGTGCGTGTGTGTTTGTGTGCGTGTGTGTACATGATTGTTTATGTGTGCATGCACACAAATACAGACAAACAGACAGACAAACAGACACATTTGCACATAAATACGCATATACGCTGACAGACGCGAGTCAGACAAAAAAAAACAGACAAGTATTCGAGGAAGCCTGTACTAATGTTCCTATGGTTAATTGAAAGTATTTTTTTCAAAATGTGATATTCAAATTTTATTGGGTTAATGTCATGGCCTGTCTAGACAAGTTGACGTCATTTTTTTCTTCTGATTTCTATATAATAAGTTTTTTTACTGTTATTAATGTAATTGTTATTATTTTTTTTAAATGTTTCATGACACAAGCATCACAGATAACTAACTAACTAACAGAATAAAAGTCGTTATTTTGGAAATAAATTAGTGTATAAGTGTGTGTGTATGTATGTATGTGTGTGTATGTATGTATGTATGTATGTATGTATGTATGTATGTATGTATGTATGTATGTATGTATGTATGTATGTATGTATGTATGTATGTATGTATGTATGTATGTATGTATGTATGTATGTATGTATGTATGTATGTATGTATGTATGTATGTATGTATGTATGTATGTATGTATGTATGTATGTATGTATGTATGTATGTATGTATGTATGTATGTATGTATGTATGTATGTATGTATGTATGTATGTATGTATGTATGTATGTATGTATGTATGTATGTATGTATGTATGTATGTATGTATGTATGTATGTATGTATGTATGTATGTATGTATGAACCCATAATTGATTAGAATGTATGTATGTATATGTTGTGCATGTATGTAAGTATTCAAGTATGTAAGACGTATGAATGACGTAAATAATGAACGTTGAACCACTGCTTGAAGAGATAGGAATGAATTGAATGGATGAAACTACTTGTAGAGCAAAAAAGAAAGAGAGAGAGAGAGAAAGAGAGAGAGAGAGAGAGAGAGAGAGAGAAATAGAAATCAATGAGAGAAAGAAAAAGAAAAAATGAGAAAGAAGGAAAGGAATAGATCTGGAAGAAAAAGAGTAAAAAGAACAGGGAGAGTGAGAGAAATGAAAGAAAGGAAGAATGAAAGAAATAAAGAGAGAGAGAGATAGATTGAGAAAGAGAGAGAGAGCAAGGGAAAAAGATAGGGAGAGAGGAAGAGAGAGAGAGCGACAGAAGTGTCATTCATTATTTATTCAATGAAATAAACAAGCTTCTGTAATATTTAAATAAGACACTGATTTGATGCTCATACAAATACACATATAACCATGGAGTTAAAACGAAAGTATTTATGTGTGCGTGTATGTGTGTGTGTATGTGTGCGTGTGTGTCATTCAAATTATATGGACTTTAACCATTTGTGTGAATTTTATAAATAGCAATCGTTTCTTCCTACAGCTTATAAATGAAGCGTTATAGAATATGCAATGGTTTCATCGAGATCTTGGAAGTTTCACAAACTTACTTTCTGTGTAAACAAATTCATTGCAATTCATTCATTGATAAAATTAATATAACAAACCTTACGAATCTAAGGACATGTGGAATAACGAAGAAAAAGTCACAGAAATCATTAAGCAGAGAGAGAGAGAATAAGCAGAGAGAGAGAGAAATGTGACAAAAGTTTAGCTGAAACTGAATTATTAAATTAAAAAAAAACAGTGACAAAGGTTGTGAGAATATTTGAAAAAAATTTGAAAGTACAGACACACACACACACACACACACACACACACACACACACATACGCACAAACACACACACTGACACACACAGATATATTTACGTACCCATACACACAGACGCCACGCGTACACATCTTTAAGGTGATATTTCTTCAAATGAAAATCACCACTTGGAGAAAATGAAAGAGGAAAAGTAATTATAAATAAATAATTATATAACCAAATTAAAAAAGTCAAAAGTAAAAATGTTAACACCCATTCAAAGATCATAAATCTGATGTACCCCGGTTGAAATACCGAAGATTGTATATGCGTATCTAATTTATCCATCCACCAAATACCAAATACATCATATTTATACTTCGTCCAAACTACATACCACATTTATACAACAATATACGCCAAATAAATCAAATTTATACCAAGAGTAATTCACATAAAATCCGTTTCATTTTTCTTTACGTCACACAAATACCAACAAATGAATAATAATGATGATGATGATGATGATAATAATAATAATAATAATAATAATAATAATAATAATAATGGGAACATCTTTTATTTTTCACTATAAAAAAAACAGACAATGATAAAAATATATATATATATAGATAAAAATATATATATATAGATAAATATATATATATATAATGATAAAATTTTTAAAAATTGTATAAAATAATATTAAAGGTTAAGACCATTTTGCTCATTGTGAAGTTAAGTGCAGAACGGTGAAATATATTTAATTAGCATCATAGCTTGTTCCTGTCACAGTAAATGTCATACGATGATCTTATAACAGTGTTTATCAATTTATCATTAAATAATAGGGGCCATGGAACTTAAACAGTGATAAATTAAAATTATTGTAAAAACCAATAGGCGTTATTTCGAATGAGTTTATAACTATTGAACAATGTTCATAGTCTTTATTTAAACAACAATGCAAATTATTAGAGTATTTATTTCTCTTGTATTGCCTGGAGGATTCTAGATTGGTTTCATGGCACACAGTTAATTCTAGAATATCAATTTTGTTATTTTGAAGTATGGCGATATCGGGTCGTAAAGTGTTGAATAATTGAGATATTGGGCGAATACCCTCAGACTCTAAATCTGCAAATATGCGGCAATTGGCTGGAGCGGATATTTTCAGGAAATTGATGATCACGGCCAATATCTTGTTGTGTCTTTCGGTATATCTTGCCAGAGCGGATGTAGAACCACAATTGGAAACTACGTACTTATTTGTCTGTCGAGAATCACAGAGAGGGCATTGCGTTTTACCCCATCTAAACAAATTTGCATTAGTAGGCAACTGCTGGACTAAATACTTCCTAGCAAATTTGTAGAGGACTCAGGCAAGATTTTCCGTGGACTTTGACCAACGGGATATGTTGTTGGCTTTGATGAAATTTTTTATATTTAAAATTAGTGAACCTTGACTCTGCAGCGAGAAAACATGATTTTAGCTACATTCAATTCTTTTTTCTTCCAAATGACTAAGCGACGACTTTATTTGGCCGTATTTTAAGAGCGTATTATCTACTTTGATAAAATCGATCGCTGATTCTTTATAAAGTTTATAAAGACATTGAATCTCTTTGTTATAATAATAATAATAATAATAATAATAATAATAATAATAATAATAATAATAATAATAATAATAATGGGAACAATGTTTTATTCAGCAATAAAATCAATGAAAATGGCAGTACAAATGAAATAAAATAATGAAATAAATAAAATGTCAAATGCACTCAAACAAGAAACTAGTTAAAACAACAATAAAATAATAATAATAATAATACCGTTAGATGCGTCTGAATAAACAAATGTCAGCTTGGTCACACCGAAGGCCGATTCAGTCAAAGAGACACTGTTGCTTCAATCCTTTCTTAAAGAGCTCAATTGGCGATGTATGTTGACAGATGAAGAATGTTGACAAATAGTTCCAGATACACAATATTTACTGGGAATTCTCCACAAAAATATACACAAGATATACCACATTTGTGCCAGCAAATACACGCACGCATTTGTACCGCGAAATACCAAGTAAAACATACTTACATATTAAGTAATGCCCGATAAGCACACAACCTAACCGAATTTATACCAAAAAATACATTAAAATCAAAATAAAATACCGCATTTTTACCAACATATACGCCAAAAATCTCACGTATATGTATGTCTAATTTATACAATCTGTACAATGTACACACAAAATATCATAATGTAAATGAAATAACATAACAAACATAGCAATGTCGCGAACATAACGTAGGAATTTAGATCAAAGAAAGTACAATGTTTAGCACAAAACACAACACAAATTGTCTGGTGGTACAACACAAACACACACACACATACAAAAACACACACAACACACACAAACAAGTAAAAATGAAAGCTTAAAAAGGTCGTTGTTTACGACATTATAATTTATCTAAGCACCTAAAATGAACTTAAGCATTGTATGTGTGAAAAATGTGTGCGTGTGTGTATGTATGTATGTGTGTGTGTATGTATGTATGTATGTATGTATGTATGTATGTATGTATGTATGTATGTATGTATGTATGTATGTATGTATGTATGCATGTATGTATGTATGAACCCGTTTTGATGAATGTATGTATGTATGTATGCATGCATGTACGTATGTATGTATGTATGCATGTATGTAAATTTGTATCTGGGTCTATGTGCAAAGTATATGCACATGCATTTGTGTGCATATCATTGATTTGTTTGTTTGTTTGTCTATTTGTTTGTATGTATGATTGCCTTTGTCGACATACCTGAAAATCATATAGGTAGGTAAAAAAAAACATTAAGGGTTTTTTCCCTTCAACAACTGCAGACAAAAATGTTCAAGTGATTCAAGTATGGTTTTGCATCTGCATGTGTGTCTGTGTGTATGTGTTTATCTGTGTGTAAATGTGTGCATGAACGTACATTTGTGTGTTTGACTGTCATCAATTATACATTTATACAGTGCCAATTGTAAAAAGAATTTTTTCAGAAGTGCAACCGTAAAAAAAAGTACAATTTTTAAATAATAAACTGTATGAATGTGTATATGCTTTTGATATATGAATATAAAAATATTTCTCTATATATATATGTGTGTGTGTACGTTTGTGTGTGTTCGCGCATTTGTTGATTCCTTGTCTAGAGATTGATTTATTAATAATAGTTTAATGACTTTTGCCTTATCACAAATATGTTCACTTAAGGTTGCTTCTTTTCATGTTGTATGCTTTTAACTGAAAGCAATTCTAGTTACTACCACTATGATATTATTATTATTACAACAATGGCATAACAATGGTCCTAATTCTCATGCTTTGATTGTGATGATGTAGATAATGATGATGGCGATGACGACGACGATGATGAACGTTTACAAGGTAATTACAACAGTCTTGCAATGAGATTAACCCAGTGAAGTAGAGCAAACAAAATCAGACATTCATTCATTAATTCATTCATTAATTCATCCATTTATTTATTCCTTCATTTGTTCACTCATTCACTCACTCAAACTTAGTGCAAATACTTTGTTAAAAAATAAAGAATTCATATACCAGGAATACATTCAAAATAATATCCTTGTTATTTGCAATTTTAGTAGTACAATTTTTAATACAATAATAATTACTATTGTTTACATTATTACTACAATAATTTATAATATTAATTATATTATTTATATTATTATATTATTATTTATATTATATATTAGAATTTTTTAAAACAGAACAGAAACTAACAGCTCCAGAACGAGAAGTATGTGTGTTTTGCCAACGAATGCATCATGCAGCTCGACTGTTATTTTTAAGAATTAAACAAAATTAAATTTATTAATTTAAAAATAAACATAATTACTATGTAAAAAAATTATTGACTATTTTTTCTGGAAAACTAAAATAACCTACAGAAGATATAAACAGACACACACAAACAGAACACACATAAACAAACCTATACATACACACAAGCCTACATGCACAAAACAAGCAGAAAGAAAAAGAGAGAGAGAGAGAGAGAGAGAGAGAGAGAGAGAGAGAAAGAGAGAGAGAGAGAAAGAGAGAGAAAAAAACAGACTCCAATAGTGAAAAACTAAAAACTGCCTAACTGATGTGTGGATGGTTAGCCAGCATCCTCAAGATGGAAATCTCTCTCAGCGTCGACTCCTCTAGCACCTCTCGGTCATTTTCCTTCTGACCTATCAGGTCGACAATTTTTACCGCATACTTTTTACCAGTTACTTTTTCTGTACACTTCCTGACTACTCCACTTATACCCCTGTTGATTTTTTAATTTTCCATTTTATTTAGTATTATCATTTTTATACATTATATTAATATATATATTTAATATTATATTAATTATGTCTTATTATTTACCATTATTTAAACCTTCAAATATAATTTAGCTGCTTATGAATTCAAATTAAAAAATGAGTTACAATAAATACAACAAAGTGATAATGATAGAAATTTTAAAAACTGAGAGAAAATTATGAAAATTTAGCTTACTCACTAAAAATTTTTTTAAATATAAAATAAAAGCAAAACTAACGTCCCTAGAACATTTTGAACTTCATATTTTTGTGAGAAAACTTGTAAACATTCATCATTTTCAAATGGGTGACTAATCTGATGGTCAACATCATTGTAATCATTGTCGACGACGACTTTCAGAACATCATTAACACTAATTATTCCATCTAGATTCCCACTACAACTACTTGACGTCGCTAGATGGCAGTTTTGATCATGGGACACACTTGAAACCATGCTGATATTTTATTATTTGCTACTTTCTCACTATGTAAAATTGTAAATTGTTAACTTACTAAATTAAAATATTAAACAACTTTGCTTTGCTGATGACTAATCATTATCATAACTCATACAATAATATAATCATAATGATAACCTAACTTGAAAAAGTCTGTCCCATCATTTAGCAATGTAATTCAATCAGTTTTTTATATGTTTTTATAATTTATAATTATTTATAACGTAATTTAATTATCATAATTAAGTTAAAATTTAAAATTTATTAAATTTAAAATTAAATCCAAATTCTAATTGATCAACCTAACAATCGCAAGCTAACAAACAATTAATTTTTTAGTTCAAATTAAATTAAACCCAACAATGGAATTATTTCCAACAATGAACTAATTCTAATTTACTATTTAAACATTCATACATCCTGTAAACAATCACTGATGAGATTTTATCGCCATACCATAGATGACAGGTTAAAAGTGAGTCGAAACGTTAACCCGAGACACTAAATATACAAGATAAGCCTTATTGCGGGATAGGCAAGGGGAGGCCTATTTACCAGCATACAACACCTTCTTATGGGTTGAAGCAGGGATATGCAAAGAACCTCAATTTTTTCAACTTTTAATTATTTTCAGTAATGTCTCGCCTAGCTCCAAACCACATAACTTGAATAATAGGACTAATCGATCAATTCGATCTATCGGTCGGGCTATTTGTCGTGCTTGGATTGTTGGCTTACGAAATTGCATGGATTTTAACGAGCAAGCTAAATGAAATATTTACTTGATTTAATATGCTTAAAACATTGTAGTAATTCTATTTAATTTTAATAATGATTAATAGAATTATGTATTATTAAATTATTTTGTTAATTTGAATATAAAAATTGCTTTTGGTCCGGTGAAATCCGGTGGCTTACTGAAGCCGAAGGTTGGCTTAGTAGGATTGAACTATAGTCACCCTTTTTTTACACTATTCGATCATGTTAAAAATTGGTTTGCTTATGAAATAAACGGCCTAAATAAATCAAAATTGTTATTTGAACAACTATCTTCATTATATTCAATGAATATTTTACATTCTGCTGGTGCTCATAAGAAACTGGCTGCTGAAATCATACGTTGGCTTACAGCAGTGGCTTACAGGGTTTCATAGAACTCTTACGATAGCACTTATGTACATATAATGCT